TCTCTCTCTCTCTCTCTCTCTCTCTCTCTCTCTCTCTCTCTCTCTCTGTTTCTGACTAAATGAGATAATCATTGATTCACTGTCAACTTTAATTTAATCCAAGAGAAGTATTTGATTAGAGAAGGCAAATTACTGAATGTCCATGAGGAAGATGGAGGGATAAGTCCATCAGTACCAGCAATGAGCCTTCTCAATACACTTGATCTAAGAGCAACGGCAGTGAGGCCTTTATGTCATGTGACAACTCCCCAGTGTGAGCAACAGGACCTGGGACATAGGTAAATGCTCAGTAAATATTGTTAAAATTAAATTGATTGAATGGATGCAGACATTACCCCTTTCCTGCTGCACAGTATTATGTGAAATGCAAATACATTTGACAACGTTCCTAGGTATATAGGTGGCCAAATGGCAACAAACAAATTAATGTCAACAAGAAAAACTTTCTGTGCCAAAGGCACTTAAATTGCTACACAACTCAGATTTCTGATAAGAGCAGAATACAAAGCCAACAGTTGGGACTGTAAGCTCAATCTAGGCCAAAAAAAAAGAAAAAAATCAGGATATATTAGCTTATGCAAAGAGCTAAAGGTTGGCCCCAGTCCTGTAATTGGTGTACAGGAAACAGGGCCTGTCTCTTTGCAGCAGCATCTCTTCTGCCTTTCTCCTAGCCTCTCTTCAAAAGCCTTGGCGTGGTTCTTAGGGAAGTTGAAAAGGAACAAAAGGTATGTTCCTGAAGTTCTGATAATCTGGCTCAGTTTTCCAAGTTCATCATTTTCATTTCTCCAATGAAGCCAGCACAGTAAATGCTCACAGCATGATGATAATGAGGGTGTCTGATTACAGACGGTCTGGACGGGCAAATACACACACCCACTCTGCAACACCTAAATATAGGTGTTGAGCAATACAGCATTCAGCCACCGAGTTCTACATGTCAGCTTCTAGTCCTGGTCCCATAATCTTTCTCATCTATCACAGTTAGTCTTCAATGTCAATTTCACTAGATTTAGAATGACCTAGGCAACACACCTCTGAATAAGTCTGTGATAATAATTCTGGGGAGTTCGATGAGAGAAGACTCACCCTGAATAGGAGCTGGATACCACCATGTCCGTTTTCCTGCTTCTTTACTATGGACATGAAGAATTTCAACCATCTCATGCCCCAGCCACCATGCCTTTTCTGCCATTAAGAACTGCAGTCCCTCAAACCCTGAACCAAAATAACCCATTCAAATCCATAGCAGTTTGAATGAAAATGGCCTTCATTGACTCATCTATTTGAAATTGGTGGAACTGTTTGGGCGGGATTAGAAGGTTTGTCTTTGTTGGAGGAGGTGTGTCTCTGGGTGTGGGCTCTCAGCTACTGCTCCAGCACCATGCCTGCCTGCCTGTCACCATGCTTCCCACCATGATGGTCATGAACTCATGCTCTGAAACTGGTAGCAAGCCCCTGACTAAATATTTTCTTTTCTAAGTTGTTTTGGTCATAGTGCTTTGTCACAGCAGCTTAAAAGAAATTTAAAACACCCACTTAAGGGTTTTTTGTGGAATATCTTGTCACAGAAATGAGAAACATAACTAAGAGATCCTTCATTCAACCTGAGCAAATAAGTATACATGTCAAACTTCCAGTGAGCCTTACAGCTGCTTCTCACCATAAACCCAGCATAAATGTGACATTTCATGGACAGCCAAGTCTGTATCTTCTCAAGGATCACCAATGATTTTTTTGTTTTGTTTTGGTTTTGTTTGTTTTTTGTTTTTGTTTTTTATAAACAGGGTTGGATTATCTGCAGATAGAAATGACACTGGTCTTTAGCACAGCTTTTGAAAGCCAGCAGAGATTGTCACTGGACTGACGTGAGAACTTTGACCATGATCACAGTACAAAATGAGCCCACAACAAGCAGGTCATTCTCCTGATGATCTCTCTCCCACATCTTTCTGTTACAGCTAAGGTAAATACTTGGCTTCATTTGCTCAAATCGAAGACCCTAGTTCCACAATCAAAGTTAGAAATGTTTATTTCCAAAACCTGGCTCAAGTGTGGGCTCCTGTCTGTCAGCTTAGGGAACTCCCAGCCCAAGGAGATGCAAGACCAGCACCCAGGTCCACGGTGTGAGCAGTCCTTTTGACTTTCTCCATGGGCACCACAAGAGGCGCACACATGTCACGGACGTTGTGTTGACCACCCTCCTGAGGCTCTCAGAACTGCCTGAGGGGAGAGTGTTCCTAAGTCACCCTGTTCTTTAACTGGGACTCGCATCATCACATCTACTATGGGTCTTTCACTCATAATCACTCCTGGCTATAGCGATAGCATGGAGTGTAGAAAGATGACATTTACATGTTTTGTCCCTTCCACATTAGCAATCTGTTTGGCTCACCAAATGAGCAGCAGGCGCCTTGCTCAGTGTGTAACTTTTTAGCACAGTAATAGCAGCTCCTGCTGAGCCGAGTGGGAGAGGAAAAAAACACAATTCTCATTTTTATGTGCACTTTAGCATACTGACCTCCTTTATCCTGTTGATGTGCCCATTAATAAAACATTTTTTAATGACCTGAAAGGCTTTTTATGAACTAGAGTGTGGGCCTGGCTGCCAAGCAGCTGTGTATTTGAAAGAACGGGAGCCGGTATCAAAGCTGGCTGTGATTAAGTCTGGCCTTGAAACTCCCTGTGTCCACAATGGTTGCTCATGTTTTTGACTGGCTGTAAATGAAAAAAAAGATTCGTACAATGGAGGAGTCTCAAAAGATGGAAATAAGGATGCTTGTGACACAAGGGGGGATTCATGGGTTGCAGAACTGACTAGGTAGCAGAACACGTACCAAGCAAGCAAGAGGCCCTGAATGCATTCCCAAGACCACAGAAAATGAAATGTGCAATTTGGTTTCATTTAACTATCTGAATTAAGATTTTTCTTTTCTATAAGCCCCTTTCAATTTCAGAATAATTATGGCAAGAAAATAATATAACTGCTATTTAAACCTACAAGATGATAATGGGTGGTTTTTGAAAGCAAAGAGTATCTTAGCTGTTCCTTGGTTTCTTCTTACACAATACCTAACAACCGAAAATACGTACCGAACCTAACTCTTCAAACTTCAGCAAAATATAACAGAAGCCATTTAATTAAGTAGAAATGTTCAATTCTTTCTAGGAAGTTAAGAGCGAAGTCATTAACAATGAGTGAGTGAAAAATGGAGGAGATAGAAACTCATTCGTTCGGTGTAGATACGTACAGGACACTCAGAGATGCTCTGGGCTTCAAAGACAAGAAGACATGCACAGCTAACTTTTGACTAAGCACAGAAATTGGAGTTAGAAAAATAGCTAATGTGTGTCAGGTACATGGCCTTCTGTCCTGAAGAGAACTCTTATCTCAGACATTAGAACCTAACAGAATTTCTACTCCATCATACACTTCCACTCCTATGTTAATCTGTCTTATTCTTAAATATAAACATTTCTTAAATAGAATTCCAAGTATTTGAACCGAGCACCAATTCCGAACCTTCACAGTGCATGGTATAAACCAGAAAATGAATGCTTAATGTAAGGAAAAGTTGAGTCTATTAAACTCCTAACTTGAGGAGAAGACAGCTAAGGAACTTCAAAGCTACTTTGTAGATTTTCTCAATTGTGACAGAGGAGGACAGGTTGGCCAAGAACCAAGCTTTTCTGCCAGAACATTCCTGATCAGCCCAGATTGTGATGTTACAATCCTTGAGACTGAGCTTATCCAGGCAAAAGAGCTGCTGACTGGAGTGGAAGATGATGTAACTAGAGAGGAAGACTGATACAGGTTCCCCAAACTCACTCATCTGTGTAATGTTTAATCATCAGAAGGTTATACTACAGAACTCCATTAGAGTCAGAGCATGTAACCTTGCACCTTTGGAAACATGGGTGTGTGTAACTGATCACTTCCAGGCATCAGATAAGCTTGATATGCTCCAGGCTTCTTCATTTTGGCTCTAGAAATGAGAACAGCAGGGAACCAACAGAGCTTCCAGAGATAGGCATAATCCTCCTTGGGAAGAAGAAGGATCAATCACATAACCAGACAGGGTTAGAAGCGAAGACGTTAATAGAAGGGTTCATCAGAGTGACCCGGGTATCTCTTGCTGGTTGCCATTCACCTACTCGACTGATTCTTGGACATCTACTCTGTCTTCTCCAAGCCAGTAAGGGTCCCCTGCTGTGAGGCTCTGGAAGAGGAAGGCAGAGTTTGGGGCATCCCAGGCAGGAGGCTTCTTGGAGAGGCTAGGAAAGGGCCTAAAATGAACAGTTGATACCATAACATTTCACTCTTAAAGGATAAATTCAGAGTGCTCCAGAATAATTTAATTTGTTTCTCTACTTATAATAAACATTTTCATTTCAAGAGGGAGCTTTAGTCTTGTTTAGATAAAATCACATAGGGAACATGGTGTGAATTCTTTTAGAGTAACACTAGAAACATCAATTTGCTCACAAGGATGTACAGTTTTAGGTACAGTTTTTAAAGCATGTTCAATTTTTAAGGTAAATTTAACTTTTAAAAGAGATATCTATTTTTAAATATAGAGTGAATTATTGTACCGGATTGGAAACTCATTAACTACCCAAAGGTCTTTTCATGAGCTCCTCAATTCTGTCCACCTGAGGATTTTAAGACTTGGCTCAGCAGAAATGCAAGCTATAAAATTCAATGATTCCTGGATAATCTATCAAATTGAGTTAGCAAAAATTACAAAATGATAATGGGGAACAGACAGTGCTAGTAAGGATACAGTCTATCAGACCTTCCTTCACTGCTGTCAGGGGTATAAACAGATACTACTTTTGACAGAATCATTGAGCAACATGCTTCCAAAATATCTAATACGGTTATATCCCTTGACCCCATTCCACATCAATGAATTTTTTTATGTGAAATAAATTAGAAAATTGACAGTTTTCTATATAAAGCCAGCTTTTAAAACACTGTTTATGATGGTAAAATTCTGGAACCAAATTAGATCTCCAGTGAAGAGAAGTCTAATAAACTGCAGTGAAATAACAGAAAGATATACTTATATGCTGCTATTAAAATTATGTTTATGGAAACAATTCGTAATAACATTAGGAAATGTTCACGGCATAATCCTAAGCGTAAAAAGCAGAGCATAAAATTGCTTATGCACTATAATTGGAATAATTTTAAAAGATACCCCATGTAAAAGGAAAAGGAGAAAATACATAGAAATGTTGACTGCATTTGTTCCTGAGAAATGGCCTAATAGGTAGTCATGCCCTTTATAGCTTTGTACACTTTGCTAATTTCCTCTATGGAATAAGTACTACTTTTATAAAGGGGGTAGTATTGTCTAAAAAGGATATATCAAATTGCATTACAAAGACTGATTGTGTGAATAATGAAGACTTTAAAAAAACGACAACCGAGTTAAGGTTTAAAAGCATAAATCTTCTCATCAACTGAGAAAACATTTATATTTTTGAAAGCCTTAGATTATCAAAGACTTAACTCATCAGACCAAAACCTAACGTGTATGTCCATCTTCTCTGCCAACAATTAAGAGTTCTTTTCTCTTGGCAGTTTACATGTCGCCACTTCGCTGTTCAGCACACACTTTAAAAGTACTCACTGCACTGAACAGGGCGATGGCAACTCTCTGCTTAGTACAGATGACTATGATAAAGTTGCACAGGCCTTATGCTTCCTGTTCCTTAGGCTTTATGCACAATGAGAGTCAAGTGGATAACATATGTCTTGGCGAGCACACACCTCATCACACTAGACTTTTGAAGGAGTGTCTTCCAATTTCCTTTTCATTAAATATATCTTGGTTTTTAAAATAATTTGGTGCTGTGCCCATGTCAAACAACACACGGGAAAGTTAAGAAGCTGTGTCATCTACATTTTTTGTATGTGCATAAATATGTGTCTATGTTTGCATGTGTTCCTGTATATATATGTGAGTGTATGAGAGCATGTGCATGGAGGCCATTGGTTGACATAGGTAGCTGCCTTGATTCCTCTCTATTTGTTTTGAGACAGTGTCCCTTACTGAACCTAGGGTTAGATAAGTGTTTCTCAATTTTCCTAATGGTACAGCCATTTATTATGGTCCCTCATGTTGTGGTGCCCATAGCATTGTTTTCATTGCTACTTCATAACTGTAATTTTGCTTCTGTTATGAACTGTAGTGTATCTGTTTTCCAATGGTCTAAAGTGAATAAAATGGGTGAGACCCAAAGGTTGAGAAATGCTGAGCAACACGATTTGGGTAAAATGAGTACCCAGTGATCTCCAGGCATCTTCCTATCTCCACCACCTCAGTGTTGGAATTATGGGTATAGGCTTCATCCCTGGCTCGTTTAGGGCTCTGGAGAGCCAAACTCAGGGTCTTGCACTTGAACATTAAGCATTTCACCAGCAAGTCCACCTCTCCAACCCCTAATTTATATTCAACAGAAAGTATTTAAGGATTTCCACATATTGGGAATGATGCTAGGCTCAGAGCGTACCTCTGAACAATAATACAGCACTGGTCTTCGACCATGTGGGAATAAAGTCTGGTGAGAGGACTCTGAGTGTAAAGATATACAGAATCATGACAGACTCCAGACTGTTCCACACATCTGTTGTAGACAGACACCTATTACAATTAGAACAAAACCATTCAGTCCTTTCCATCCTTGCAACCAAATTATTGGAGATGTACTTAGAATAAAAGACTATACCGTTCCAAAGGATACACTTAAGTCTTCAGGCAGCAAGCTGCTATTCCATCCTGTATGAAAAGTGATTTCCCTGCTAAAATCTCATCTATGTTGTAAGGTTTATAATAGTGACCTTACACTGAGTTTTGTTTTTGAAAATTTGCATGATCTATCTCTACATTCTTTGCACTGTGTGTGCAGAGATCCCCTTTCTCCAGGTGATATAAAAATCTGAATATTAAATGATTCTAAGAACGGGAACTGTTTTAATTGCCTGTGTGATGTATAAACATGAGAGTTCTCCTCAAGGCACAGCAGCTCACAGCATCCGTCCTGTGGGTCAGCTCTCCTCTCCCTGTCACCAGTGCTTCTTCCACGCTAAGCTCAGGGCTCTCTCCTCAGAGCTCATCACAGGAAACAAAGTAGACAAGAAACTGGTTTGAGCCCCGAAGAGCCAGCCTGATGCTATAAATCAATGAAGACAAGCCCTTGGCTTCTGAGGAAGTTCAATCTAAGATGCTATTTAGGAACATTTGTTTCATTCCTTAAAGGAAACATTGTAGGCCAAGATCAGTCCTGCTATCCAAGATTCTTTGTGGAAAGGACCATGAAATGAGCACTTCTTGAATTTGGTTTCAAGAAAAAAAAATCTTCCTTCTATACAATGTGTTACTCTTATAAGCTTCTCGTATTGAGAGAGGAGAACCAGGAAATTCTAATTTCCTCCTGGCTGCTAACGAGCACAGTCTTTTCCCTTCACAGTGACTGTAACTGCACATTTCCTGAGCTAGTTTCCTTTTCTTTCTCAAGAGATGCTTCATTTGCATGTGAGCATCAGCCTGCACCACCTAGTTTACAATTCTGTATGAGGAGCTGCCTTGTATCTTCCTTAGAGAAGGGCAAGGTAGACACAAGTTATTCATTTCCCACACATGCATCAACGCTAACTCAACTTCAACTCCTGGCTATTTCTCGGCTATGCTGTGGAAATCTCCTTCTTCTAAGTCCTTATTCACACACCGCTTTCAATGAATATGGCAAAAACTCCCTGTTTTTAAATGCATGTCTTGGCCAGTTTAAAATGCCACAATTTGAAGAGTTTTCTTCCAGTGTTTACACCTTTCATGTGTAGTAACTGGTGTTATTTCTAAAACGTGTGTGGCATGAAAGAGCCATGATTTATACTGAATTTCTGTCTTTAAATCTACCAGCATCCTTTAAAGAAGGCTTCGAAACTGGTCCAGGTGGGATGCTTCCAAACTCTGACAATTCAATTATGAAAATCCAAGACAGCAGCCAAGCTCTGGACGGAAAGGCAAGGGGCTTCACAAAGACATATCACTATTAAAGGTAGGTACGGAATCCAAGGGAAGGCCTAGCACTCCAGAAATCAGAGACAAGAAAGCAAGTACGAAGTGAGAAGCCAACAGAGACTGCTGCTGGGCAACTCCAGACAATGGAGACTCTGGATGGAAGCTTACAGGGCTTCGGTGTTTAAATACATGATTTTTTACTGGGGAGCTGACGTTAACCTCCCTTCAGGTCTCCTGGGCTGAATCAGCCTCTACCTCCTCTTCTGGCATATGTCCCATGAATATCTGATCATTTCAACAAATGAGCAGCATAAATTCAAAACAAAAGCAAGCAGGACTGATTTTAACATTCGAGGTGGTTCCCATTCCTTGACCACTGGATCAATCAGCACCTTCACATGACATAGGGTGAGTTTGGGGTGGTATGGCAGTAGGGGTGAGCATTTATCTATGGGAGAGTTAGCTCTTCAGAGATGACCTTCAAAAGCAACCAATACTCAGAGCAGTACCACTCTGCTGTATACTCAATACAAACAGGAACTCTGTAGCTCACCCAGTTTCTGTTTCTAGCCGGGTGATACACAGCTCAAGGGAGGGTTTGGGATGGAGCCTGGGCATTCCTGTATTAAACAAAAGCTCTACTTAAAGGCTGCCCTGAGCGAAGTGTAAATGCTAGAGGGTGTCTAGCGCTTTAGTCTAAGGTTTCAAGTTCAGTCATCCTTCCGTGTTAAGAGCTGTTATTTCTGACCTGCTGTCCTCACTGACCCCATCCCCCTTCACCTTCCATGACCACAAACCTCACTATGAAGACATAAGAAAGTTCAAAGCCTGCTGCTGCTCAGAAACCTTCTCTGTGTTTTCCTTGAGCATTTAACTTGTTTTCTTTATTTCTGAGAAAATACTTCCAGCCCAGCCTTTGACATATGCTTAAGTACGAAAACAAAATGTTTGTGGAGTAAATGGAATTAATTTATCTGAGTTCTATTTATTAGCCATTGTTAGAAGAAAAAAAAGGGGGGAGCCAAAGTACTCACCAATAACTAATGAAAGCAAGTCTAATCCAGAAAGTGATGACTTCTAATTTTTTAATTGAAAATAAATAAAGCAATCCACAATAACAGAAGCAATTAACTGTGCATATATGGAAAGAACCCCCCCCCACAATGTAGCTAATTTTCCTATTTGATTAAACTCTGTCGAAGCTGCTTTAAATCCTCAAACAGAATTGTGATGCCAATGTGCATTCTCTCTGCAGATGCTCCTTGCAGAACTGACCTGGCAGGGATGGGAACAATACTTCAGGATTAAGTCAGCAGCCTAGCAGAGGCACTTCCCACCGCTGGCAGAGACCCAGGCCTCCACTCATACCACCTTTCCAGGCCCTGCCCTGGCTGCCGACCTCCTCTGCTGTGCGCCTAGCTTGCTCGCTCTCTCCATAAACATTTTTACCTCCTTGCTGTTTCTGACCCTGAGCTTCCAGCAGTATTATTATAGATATGTTAAGGTAAGAAGATTTTAATTTCCATTTTTTATTTGTTGTCAGGGGACAGCAGATTATGCAGTAAAGTAATCCCACAGTGAGGATGTCTTCATATAAAATAGTCCCCACTTTCACAAGTATTTTCTTTCAAAATAATAATAGATGTAGGCACCACTACGAGGACTTGGGTACCAGAGAACAACCATTCAAGACGGAGACAGGACAGAGCAGTACTTTATAAAGATAACGGTCATTCCCTTCTGGGGAGATGCTCTTTGAAAGTCCTTGGTCATCAGTGCACCATGTTAAAATGTGTTTTTACATGGCTCCTCTCTTTGAGTTATGCAAGGATATATAAATAAAAACTGCTGACTTTTGAGGGACGGGGGAGGTGAGGTCTTTGCAATACTGTTGAGTACATCAAGGGCATTGTCAGTTTAACAGCAGAGATAACCTCCCCTTAAGGCAACCTGAGACATAATGGACCTTTGTGTGGTTTCAACACTAATAATACAGAAGCAGAGAGCAGAACAGAAAAATTAGACATGTGTCGTTCCCTTATCGCTCAGTATACAACTGGAAGTCCAGGGCCACTTCGATAAGTCTGGAGTCCTTAAGCATGGTGATTTACTGAATGCCACAACATCATTCTAGTCTACGGGGAGCAACTAAGTACCTACGTGGCTTGTCCTTAAAGTGATTTTGATAAGATTCCAGGCTGTAACCAGCTGCTTATGACAAAGACACTAACACTAAAGAGGGCAACTGCTGATGGTTCTCCAAGACACAGAGGAAATCAGAGAAAGACCAGTGTTTCCAATAACAAGGAGAAAACCAAGGCTGGGACTGTCTAGCTAGTGAAACCTAGCAATAGGTGGTAAAACCAGTAAGAATTTATCAGGAAGGTCAGGAAGGTGAGTCGGAGTAGACTTGTCTATCCCACATGCAAAGACGTGCACGCTGGTCTGTTATCAGAAGACAGGAAAGCTGCAAGCCACAGGGCACTTGGCAACGACACACTCCCGTCTTAAAGCCCCACCAGGTGACAATCCAAAGGGGCCTACTGTCAAACCAAAGCAGCTGTTCTACAGTCTCCTTTCAAGTTATTACATTGATAGATCATTTACTCCTTCTGGTAAATATGCAAAACAAGGTTACCAAAGAATTGATCTGCCTACAGGGGAAAGTAAAACAGAAAGGCCATCCATACCAAGGACACCCTCACAGGCTGTAGGATGCATGAAAAGGCATTACATCAAAAAAAAACACCAAAAAACAAAAACAAAAAAACAAACAAAAAACCCAACTATCTGTTGAGCCCTCCACATCTGAGAGGCTAAGGGCCAAAACACTTCAAAGTCTCAAACTTCTCCAACACTCGTGTGACATCATGAGCCGAAAACTGCACACCTGTCATCGTTTGATGGGTTTGACTCAAGACATAGGCGCAGCAAGAAACACTGTATAAAATTACCTGCAGGCTGTGCACATACACATCTCTGAAGCCTAAGTGAACTTTGCGTTCAGACCCGGGGCCAGCTCCTGAGATAGCTCATGCTGTATCTACACACTTACATGTAGATGTATGCATGAATACGTCAAAATCTAAAAATCAGTTCTGAAATCCAAAATGCTTCTGGTCTGAAGCATTTCAGATAAGGGCTACCCAGTGTGTACTCATCTGTAGAGTAAACTGCGACCGACAAAAATATTTTAAATAAAAGAGTTTTGATCACTTTGAAATTAGAATAGTAAATATAATGTAGTCAGTCCCAAAACTGTGCTGTCTGCACGCAGAGAATTTCCTTCCTTTTGATTGGCAGGGCGCGGCTGGAAGGCTTACAGCAGAGCACCTGACACCCACTCCCTAAAGCAGGATCCCCAAGGGGCCTCCATATCTACCCACTCCATTTTCATATGGCTCTTTTCTTCTGAGTTGTGCAGGGATGTGTACATAAAAGCAGCTGGCTTTTGAGGGGCAGGGGAAAGGTCCTTGTTTCAAGCCCTTCACAGCACAGCAGAGACCTTAGCTGACTCCTCCTGGTCACACTGACACGCACTACACTACGATACTATGCTCAGTTGCACTGCCTGAATATCCACAATACATTCCTTTGTCTAAGTTATTTGGTATTTCTTGTGTTTATGTCTCTACATTATTAAACAGAAGTCTAATCTGTTTGTTAAAGGCCAAACTTTATGTCTCATAACACTGCCCACAGCAATTAAAGGTGCCCCCAGACAGTGACTCTAGCTACTGAGGTGCTTGCAAGGAGGGAACACAGGCATTTCACAATTCCTTACTCCTTGAGCAAGTAACCATCAACACTGGCAAGGTGCACAGGAGGGGTGGCTTTGGAGTATGCCTGTACATGCACACTTGTGTATGTGTGGCGACATGGTGTGGCGAAAGATTAAAGTGGAAACTAACTGCACTCTAGCCCTCTGACCCTTACTGTCTTCCAAAGGACTGTCTCTGACCACCTCAGCTGAAGGGAAGAAGCTCACTACCCTAGAACTCTTCAGACAGCCCCACCCAAGTCTCTATAGAAGAGACAACCTGGGGTGTAACCGTCTCAGGGGACAGTGCTCACGATGCTAAAAGGGGAAGGAAGCTCCAACAGGACCCTTTACAAGTAGGACTAACAAAAGTTAAAATTTTCATTTTTACCCCTCGAAGTACAGACTGAAAAAGAACAAATGTGGGATTATTAAGTATGTTTTAGTACCAATGTTTACAGTTTCCTATTTTCTTTCTGATCTTTACTCAGGGAAAGGAGAGACGAGAGGAATAGAATACAAACCAAAAACCAGTTCTTCTTGGCTTACTCGGACATTGCTAAAAATACTGCAAGTGAAGCACAACACTTCCCTGCCACGGAGCAGTGAGGCTAATGCAGTCAAAGGCCAGTCTGGCTCAGATCTCAAGTGTGATTTACAATGTGATAGTTTAAAGTGGTACAGCCCATGCTGTGGTAATAAACATTCATTTCAAGCCTTTTAGGGGACTAATATTTCATCTGAACACTCTCAGAGAAAGACGTTTTCTTTCAGAGGAGGGAGCGAAGCCCTGTAATGGAATCATAAAGAGAGAGAGGCAAGGAGGCTGGGAACACCAGCTGCCCTCTCACCAGGCTGACCTTCCATCTACCCCTCTGCAAGGGGCTCTAGAGCTAGAGCCAGCTCTCAGCAAACAGAGTCTGACTCCTGAGTCTCCAGGAATCACACAAACAGCTGGTCCACGGTCCTGCGCATAGGGGCAGAGAAGCCACCTCCAAGGTCCCAACGCAGGATGCTCTGACTCACCAATGACCATCAGAGAGGAACCTTATGAGAGGCCCATGTGTTGGGGAGAAAGGTCCATTTTTCACCCAGGGCAGGTGCCTTCATGGACTTTTTACAAAAGAGACATATATTTGCAAAGAAAATCAAGGCATAAGATTTTGAAAAGGGTTCCCACAAGTATTTTGTGAGCAGGTGTGCCAGACAATATCTCTGATACACAAATTTCTTGATACTTCTATCGAAACTCCTATTTTCCTTTTGAAATTATTCTACTACTTGGCTCACTGGAGACTCACTGATTGCCAAGAGCCAAGAGTTGTTTAATCTTCTTAAACAACCACAAAAGTTTTGATGGAGTGCTGATGCTGAGACTGGTCTGACCGTGTATCTCTATAGTGCTAGCTGCTGAACTCTTCAGACATAATCTCTGCTTACTCTATGTATCTGATTAAAAAAATTATTAAAAAATCTATCAAGAGACAGATATTTTTATCTCGCCATGGTTCCTTAACACCATCACATTCCCACCTCCTCAGTTTGCATATCATCATCATCACTTCTGCGGAACCTGGATCAAGAAACTTGCACTCCTAGGTCACCTGTAGACCCTGGCACTGTCCAGGGAATGGGTACATGAAATCTGCTGGAAAACACTACGTCAAAGGCCGTGCCATCCAATCACTGTCTCTTGCTTTGTTCTTTCTGTTGTTTTCCTATGGACTCTCGGCCTTCTGCCGTTAGACATCTGCCTCGTTTCCTAGCTTTCCCATCACCTGACCACCAGCCACAAACACCCAGACATGACACCGAATGTAGATTCTGCTGTCTTCCTTGCCCCATCTCTGGAATTCCATGGGTTATTTCTTGAGTAAAGTTACCAAGTGATTAGACTTACAGCTTCCTTTACCCATGCAGCCTCCTCAGTAGAATCCCACCGACTTAAGTCAACTCCAACTTTTATGGTCATCTCAATGTCCTAATGCAACAAGCTGCTGTCAAGACAGGGCTCTTCACTACTTACAAATGCAACAACTAGCCTTATCCTGCTGACATTGCTCACTGTCATGGTTTGTATATGCTTGGCCCAGGGAGTGGAACTATTAGGCGTGGCCTTGTTGGGAGTAGGTGTGTCACTGTGGGTGTGGGTTTTAAGACCATCATCCTAGCTGCCTGAAAGTCTGTATTCTGCTAGCAGTCATCAGATGAAGATGGAGAACTCTCAGCTCCTCCTATACCATGCCTACCTAGATGCTGCCATGTTCCTACCTTGATGATACTAGACTGAAACTCAGCCTGTAAGCCAGCAGCAATTAAACGTTGTCCTTTATATGACTTGCCTTAGTCATGGTGTCTGTTCACCCCTAACTAAGACACTGATCATGTATCTTTTTAACTATTAGGCCTTAGCCCAGACATTCTTTGACATTGTCCAATGATGCTCAACAGAAAACAATGTGAAATAAGTTCAACAGAAGACAGGCTCTGTAGGACAGTAAGCTGAAAAACAACCTTCTTCTACATTAAGCATTTCCTTCCCAGCTTCCTCCCAATAACAACTGGAGTACATTTCTAATGTTTCAGTGTTACCAATGAAGTTGACTT